GGTTACATCGAATTGTTTCATTGTTCTTGTATCTGTAATCCACCGCTCGAGTGGGTCCTATATATTTCGATACAGTCTGCATATGATAGTAGAATATTAATAAAAACAGCGATATCGCTACTGCTTTATGTGTCCATATCTTAAACAAAGGAAACAAAGGTTGCGTTCCTTCTTGTTCGAAGGAACAGAACATGGCTGTATATCGTTAATAAGATCGTCGTTCTAATGGAATGGTAATTAGTATGGATCCTAGCAAGGTGTATAGTGATAACGGTGTCTAAAAGATGGGAATAAAGAAACATAATTACCGTGGACTAGAAAAGAAAGTACTTGAAGGTGGATTGTGATACCTGGGGACAGTGTTAAGTTAGTGGACGGTGAAGCACATAGAAATATTGCTAAACAGTTGTTTCCCGGTCCACGTGAATATATTCCACGAAACCGGGTTGTTGTTGTCAGGATGCTGCACCGAGAAGTGTCTCTTCTGTTGGCGCCCGTCTCGGTCTATTGCTTTTCTTTGTACCTTTATAGTGAAGTCCCTTTGTACTCGTCTTCGACCTACAAGATAAAGTTGTACGTTATAATAATATTATATTTAAAGAGTTTAAATAGGAACGGAATTACTGTATTCTGGTATTATGATCACCTGCTGATGAGCACAGCGAAAAAGCACGCGAAGGCAGCGATAATTCCAGCAACGCCCGCCAGGACGAGCCATATCTCCGAAGGAAGAAGTCCCAGTAATTTGGCGCCGTTACCGCAATCCGCCTCGTCGTGTCCAGACGGGCAATGAGCTCTTCCGTCGCACCACAGACTCGCAGCGATACAGGCACTCAGTTCAGGACATTTGTGAGGGCAGTCCTTGTGGATCGAGGTTTCGCTTTCTACTTCCCTCTCGGGTAAACGTAACTGTCTGCGCAGCGCGGCTCTGCTCTTGGAGATTTCGAGCCACGAGGCTGCAGCCTGGCCAGATTCCCTCGCGACGAAGTCCAACAGAAGCGCCGGAGGCCTAGGTGGCCCTGGCCATTTCCCTTCGTCGGCTCCTACCAACCACTCTTCGGAGAAAACGTGAACAGTGAACTCCCTCGAGCCCGGTTCCGCGGGGCACACCACCTTCAACAGTTTCGGCGGCCAACCAGAGTAAAGGAGGATTCTGTTGGTAGTCGGGCACTTTACTTGCTCGTTCATCTCCGTTACTGGTAACGGTTCGAGAGGGAGAAACCAACCCCAGGTTAACACGAATAGAGATCTGTTCTCGCGTGCCTCCACCAACCAGGGAAGTCCTTCGCAATAGATGTCTGGTCTGGATAATGGAGGCGCGACGAATCGTAACTCGCCACCTTTAAAAGAAGATAATAATAAAATACAAGTTTACGAGAGAAAATCTGTTAGTATCGATCGACCCTACACGTACCGACACTTTACGGATCCCTCATTCCTACCGTAACGGGTCGTTTGACCCTTCGCGAACTAACCGTTGATTTTTAGAAAGAAATTCTTGAATTCTTACAGAAGAGATATGTACTAAAAGCCACATTTTCTATCAATTTCTTTCGAACAAACTAAACGAATTATATCAACTCATGTTACTCTTTCGAATAGCACGAGTGAAAATACGTGAAACAATTGTACGTGATTTTTATATCGTGTACAAGAACTGTATACAGAAGTTGCGGTACGTATAGCGTCGATCAAGTGCATGTATAGTAACGCAATCACCTTCTCCGCGTACTCTCTGCTTCCTGGGGCACTCGGGTGCCCTTACGAGCTCGAAGCTGGCGTAAAAGAAAAGCGTTTCGAAGTCTTCGTACGGCGCTTGCTGGTCGACCAGAAATGTAATTTCCAGAGCCCTGCTCGAGGAAATGTGCGTCAATGGAAGATGAGACGTGTTATCACATAAACAAGCTCTGGGAAGCCTCACGTCCCACCAAGGAGCTTCGTATAAAACTAAACGAGCCTCTCTAGAGCCCACTTCCTGAACACAACGTGGTCGCCCCGTATGAGGATCCGGTTCGCTCGTGCAAACGGTCGACTCTCCCAAGCTGACGTTATGCAACGTCAGCCTGACTCTTTCGTCGACGCCCGCCTCGATTCGATATCTGCACTCCAACTTCGAGGATCCACCTCTGCCGAACAGTCGGACATCCCGTGGTGTCGTGATCTCGCCGCTTCGTACCTTACGCCAGACCCTGCTGCAGACACCGTCGCCCCAAGGCTCGCCGACTTGAACGGTCGAGATAAATTCGTATTGTGCCTGGAATAATGTTGTGTGCCAATACTTTTTTTTACTATAGATTTTTCGTTTCTTTCTTTCTTTTTTTTTACTTTACTTATAACAAATAACTTAGAAAACTCTCAATGAACGTACTATTTATGTGTGTCAAAAGACTACTTATAAACATAGTTAATAGATTACTTTAAATTACAAAGGTATTCAAAGAAAACCGAGTGTACCAATACTTCTTTAACCCACTGCGAATATCTCCGTTATTTTTCATTCGATGAAGAAAGTCTACTGTACTGTGATACGTTGAGTTTTGGATGACCTCGCGAGGAGTTACTTACATTAAAATTAACGGTGTGAAGAGCAGTACCAAACATCGTTTCCATACGCAACGTCAGGGACGGCGCAACCGTGATGTAACTTTCTTCATCTTTGCACGGTCTCGTGCTTCTTGTAACGTTCCTGAGCGCCGCGTGAGCGCACAGCTTGGGCGTGTCGTCGCAAAGCGTGGCCATCGGCAATCCGGTAGTCGGCGTGCCGTCCCAAAATATTAATTTCACCGCGCAATTCTTTACGTCCGACTGCGAGCTGGCGTTGTTCTCGACGCTACCCGTCAGATCTCTCTGAGAATACGAGGAAAAATAAATCCACACTCTGTCCCCGGAAGATCCCTTGATGTTCCACGTGCAGCTGGAGTTGGGCGGCAGTGCGTGAAGCGGTGCCCGTAGCGTGCCGCTCCTCTTATTAGTACCATTTACAAAAAAGTGACAGCCCTGAGGGCTCTTTGCGTAATCGAGCCCGTCGGAATCGACGTATACCACCTGTATCTCGAGTTCGATACGCAAAGCGGAAGCACCGAGAGGAATGGGTATAGGGGAACTTCTGAACTCCACCTGCATCGTTGGACCTCTGGCAGTGATCCGTGGTAAAGGCCCTCCGCAATATATCAACAAAATCGGATCGTCCGTGCGAACGCCGTCGTGGAAGATTAGACGATCCTTCTCCGGAGGACAGTCTTGCCATACGCTTAAAGTACTATTAGTGGTAGTTATACCAGCTGGTCCAGCTGGCGTGGATTTCACGGAAATCATCGCGTGCTTGCACGTGGGCACCTCTTGCTGCCTTATAGTGATCATGCAGCTCGCGTTCCTCGGGTACTCCCCGGGATAATTCGGGCTCTGCAACCTGCACTGATTCAGGTGGCATTCGTCGAAGTCTCTCGAGCAGTACGTGCCCGGCACCGGGGAGCCCCGTTCGATCGGAAGTTCTGGTTTCCCTAACCTGGCCACGGCTTCGTTCCGTGCTACGAATCTGTAGCGTAAACGGAAGTCGAACGGTACCATGGGGGGCGCGTGAAACAGTCGTATGGAAGCAGTGACGGCACTGGTCTCGCTGTAATAAGAAGCTGTCCCTTCTCCGACTCCGCACCACGAACCACCGGTGAAATGTCTACCTAATTCCGCTAACTGTAACGAACCTTCCGGGCAGCTCGCGAGAAAGCTGTCCGTGTTAGGATCTACTCTACCTACGCTGAATGCGTCCCACAACAGTTGCACCAGCTCTCCGTACCCCTGGCCAGCAGCGGTGAACGTTAAATGACAGAAGAAAGGCAGACGTTCCTCTGCGGGTCTAGGAAGATCCAGCTTGTACGTGCGACCCTCTCGGCCGTAATACGTCCGATTACAGGGAGTACACATCGGTGGCTCGTCGCTGTTATCTCCGCAATCATCTTGCCCGTTGCAGAACGCGTCTATCGGTAGACAATGTCCATCCCTGCAGGTTAACTCGGCCAGACCGCAATCACCACTCGACACGCGGTCTGTCCATCCGAGTAGCAATAGCGACAGGAACAGAGCAGGTACTCGAAACCGTGTAGAACCACCTCCGTCATCAGCTATCTCCTGCGAAAGAAATTTATTAGTTATTTTAACCGTTGGTTGATCAATGTGATTAGAAACGATTCATTAGCGTTTACTAATCCTTTGACAAGGTTTCACGGGAATGTTTCACACTTTTCGTCGACCGCTTGTGTTAACCGTTGCGTTAACCTCCTAATCAATTTTAGTAGACCCACTTCAATTGCACTAGTTTACAGCCAAAATGTACATTCAATGGCAGAATTTTTTTCTTATGTATTTTGGCCTACTAAACTCGAAAATCGCAAGAAAACATTTTTCTATGGATAGGTTTCTTTTTTCAATTTTTTTTTTTTTTCTGACGTCCGATTGGGTCGCGCAAGACGCCATTTTAAAGGTAATAAAATGTTTATATCTCACAAACGGTTCACCTTTGGACCTATGTTTAGTAAAGCTTTTTTACTCACAAGGAGAGTGTAGGACCTCTAACTCACCAATTTCATTGAAACTTTGTACACTTATAGATTTCGCTCCTCTGATTACGAATATATACCATTATAGGGGCAGACACTCTGCCCTCAGCTGCAACTAAACTCGTACATCAACGTAATAATAAAACTTTAATTACAAATATCTCAAAAACTATTGAGTGTCTGCCCCTGTAATGGTATATATTCGTAATCAGAGGAGCGAAATCTATAAGTGTACAAAGTTTCAATGAAATTGGTGAGTTAGAGGTCCTGCACTCTCCTTGTGAGTAAAAAAGCTTTAGTAAACATAGGTCCAAAGGTCAACCGTTTGTGAGATATAAACATTTTATTACCTTTAAAATTGCGTCTTGCGCGACTCAATCGGACGTCAGAAAAAAAAAATTGAAAAAAGATTGAAAAGTTCGTAATTGGTTAGTTGAAGGTCTTGCACTCTCCTTGTCAGCACAGTGTGCCCTATACACCATACAAATATTGAATGATTTTTTTTTTTTTTAACACCCTGTATATAAAATCACCACTCGATTAATCCTTAGTCGAATCGATTATTCGGTTATTCAATTTCAGTCGATAACTTAAAAAACTTGTAACCACGGCGTAGGATCGAACAGGTTAAAAGAAAGGGTTACCTAAAACGCCAAGTATTAATTCAATGAAGTCAACAAGTTGTCAACGAAATAACGAGGGGGCTTCTAAATGAACCCCCGCGCGGCCGTCTAAGGGTTATTAGAACATTCGTCCTCGAACGTAAATAGAATGGAAATGAGTTTACGCAGACACACAATGAATCCTTGTTTATTTTTGCAACTGCCTTTTTCGTACCCTCGCTCGCGAACAGCGGTCAGTAAACATTCAGTTCATTAAAACGAAAACATTTTCAACGCGCGACAAGTACCCGTGTTGTGCGCAAATATGTACACAATGAAGACCACCATCTCTAGAATTGAAGTTGATCGTTCGCTGGTACTCGTATTTGTATACTGTATAGTCAGTGCTCGGAATTACTTGTACATTTCGGCCCGATTCCTGAAGCACCACCTCCTGCATCCCCACTACCGGTCTAGGCTCGACGGCTGAGCCGGCGATCGTACGCGCGACGTTGTTTCTCAGGGACGTACTACAATAGATATGTCGGGTTTCACCCGTGTGAGTAAAAATTTCCTTGCGCTGTCAGTATTTTTTATTTTTACAGATAAATAAAGTTATTAATGTAGGAGTCTAAACGAAAAATAAGGCACCGGGGTTCGAACCCACGATCCTCGGATCCACAGTCGACCGCTTTAACTACACGACCAATCCCGTACCCTACGTTTCGTGTTCTTATTTGACTCTTTATTGTTGGGTATGGGAGGCACGGATACTACTCATTAATATTATGTTTAGGTTTATAAACACCTTTTATATATACATATAATAACAATAATATATGATATATATGGTTTCACGCGGGCGAAACCCGACATATCTATGCAGTACGTCCCTGAGAAACAACGTCGCGCGTACGATCGCCGACTCGGCCGTCGAGCCTAGAGCGGTAGTGGGGTCGCAGGAGATGGTGCTTGAGGAATCGGGCCGAAATGTGCAAGTAATTCCGAGCACTGCGTGGATAGAATTCACGTACGTCTTTAGAAGTAGCTTTTCTTAAGCGTCATCTAAGTCTAATCGACAAATATTAGGTTGTCCCAAAAGTTTCTTTCGCTTTATTAACAAGTATTATCAATAAGTATACATGCACAATTGTTTATGTTTTATGTTACATTACTGAATTGTCCACGATTCATTTTGCTCCATTACTGCTACAACATGAATATCTATGAAATTAGATTGTCTACTTATATAAACACGACCACATAAAATAATTGAACGCAACTCGCGAAAGAAATTTTCGGTACAACCTAATATAATAATAATATTTACAATGCCAAAATAATTGAGGTTCAAGGAAGAAAGAATATCCATCAAGTCGTACGTATATGCCACCCTTTCAAAACAAAATTCTTTTAATCCTGACACTGTTAACAACTTTAATAACCAAGATCCAGCGTGTTTAACGATCAAACAAGACGATGCAATTAATAGCACATAAAATCGACTCGAAACCAAACGATCAGAATTCACGTTCCCCGTTCTGTATATCACTAATTATAAATCACAATCTTAACTCGTGGAAAGGTACGAATAGGAAACGTTGATCGTTTATTTTTGACACGTTGTTGGTCGTCACGTCGTCCAGAAATGGGTGACAGGACTTTTTGTCACGGAACTAAAAGAACCGATTTCAGAGCTGAGGCGTTAATAAAGATAAATTTCCCTAAGATTCGTGACTTTGGCGAGAAATGAAAAATCAAACGCTACGGACGAACACTTGTTATAGTTACATTATCTAACGGTTCTTCGACGGTCCCGAGGCAAAATTTCGATATTACAGAAACGTTCACGATTTTTAATCCTCCAGCCAACGTGTTAACACGTTGATCGCCACGTCGCCCATATATGGGTGACAGTGCTTTTCACTGAAGAAGTAAAAAAATTAATTTTGAAAGTCAAGAATGAAAGTAAATGAATTTGAATGAAATTCATGAATTTTGATGAAGTTACAAAACTAAATACCACGATAATATTTAATTGTAGCAGAAATTTTCAAGAATATTTATCTTCCAGCCAACGTGTTAAACGGATCCTTTGTCGTGTGTGCAAGTGTGCGACACGGTGTGACCCAGTGACAGCGATTAACGTGCAAGAAATCGTCGGAATGTGTACGCCAAAGTAACATAAATCATCGAGCACACGCACACGAGTAATGGGAGGATTTACCATAATCGTCTGTCGGTGAATCGAACATCACAACAACAAGCCCGAGGACGCAGTAGAGATCGACGACACTAAATACGGAAAGGTTTACTCTCGTTGAATCGTGCGTGTTGAATGTGTTTCGAGAACGTCGAGATGCTGTACGATGGCGGTGACGACGGTCGGCATAATTAAAACGAGTGACACTGAGTAGGATTCGATCGCGGACTGATACAGGAAGGAAACGTGGGTGGATAGCGAGTATACACCCTCCAGCGATTCGTTTCGTCTACCGGAACGAAATGTACGAAACGTTTCCTACGAGGCTCGCGAGTCCAGTGACCGAACAACACACAGCTCTACACCGTGAAGAGGTTGATGCGCAACTGCACAGCAAAGAGAAAAGCCCGGAGGGCAGCTTCGCTGCAAGGCATATACCGGGGTAAGGGTGATGGAACGAAACGGGGCTGAGCTCAGGGCCTGGCGCCTCAATGCATCGATCGGTATTCGGTCCTTCTCTCTCTCCGTTTCGACGCCCTAAACCAGTGTCTCTCAAATCACCTACTCTCCTGGACAACCCCTTTTACAAACGAATACTCCTGGACACCCCGTAGAATGGAATTACAGATTCGAATGCAACCCTTTTCGACGTGGCTGTTTTCTATTTGAATAGCATTCTTTTAAAAATTAATTGTACCAAGCTAGGGTTGATTATAAATCAAAGATAGATAAGAAGAGACAATTTGCTCCAGCATTAATAATGCTCATTTTATTAAACATACGTTCCTATAAATCTCAATCGTAAAATGCCACCTAGAAATATTCACTGGGACGTACATGTACCATTAGGGATGAAAAGATGGAAGACGTTTTTCTTAATTAAATGTTAAAATATATTACTTGTAACTGAATCGAATACTGCATGGAACAATTGTATACTTGTATTAATAATAATTGTATAATTATTATAATACAATATAATACATACATTAAACATACATTATAATACAACATAGTACATTATAATATATATAATTGTATAATTCATGTATAGGAGCTGTATACAAAAGTTTGGTAATGGTCATTTGACCGGTAATGCTAGATTCAGTACTAAATTAAGCTGCTTCTTACTAGCTAAATTTATTACCTTTAATTGGCTTTCATCTCAAATTGAATTTTTGCAGGATGTTTTTAATGAGAATTATATACCATGGAACTCATGAATAGGGGTTGCAGTTTGAGAAACACTGGCCTGAAGCATACTACGTATACCGCAGTGATGTAACTACCGATCACAATACCTAAAATCGTCACGAATGTCAGCAACTACTGTTGGGATCAAGATTAGATATGCACCCAGGAATATCAATCACGCAATTCTGTTCGGTTAGTCGCAACCCTATGGATGTACCAATAAATTATTGAAACTGCAGATTACTTTTCTCGTATTACACAGGAGGCTTCGAAAAATTGAGAAAAGCATGCGAAGGATATACGATACGACGTTGTTTCATTGAATACGTCTATACATTCCTTCCCTCGTTTAATTTCGAACGAATAAGTAGGGTAAAAACCTTAAACGCTCCATTCAAGAACAAGAACACGTGAAAATTATAGAGATACTATAGATAGAGAGGTAAAAACCACAGAAATTTATCTATCTCTGTGCTTTTATTAACGTGAATGTAAATAAAATACGTATCTAATTATCCAAAGTATAGACGATAACCATTTATCGTTAACATTATACAAATAAATAATCAAAATTAAGGCTCGATGCACGAAAGCATCGAGAGTCACAATGTTTGTTACCCATAGAATAAACGTCGAAACTGTAAATCCGCGACACCATAGATGTAACATTCCCTTGTAAGCCTTCTAATTAATTTCATTAAATTTGCTCCATCCGTTGAAGCATCACTTCCATTATAGAAACTTGATAAGAAATCTCTAATAAATCTAGCCAACAAACAATTATATTGTTTCTTTTTAAATATCGTTAAAAACGTACAGAACGCAGAATTACTCGAACGATACGAAATGTTTTGTTCTCAGATTCGAAATATAGAATACGAAGACTTTTTTTCCATCGCAATTTTTACACGCTCTTGTTTTTGAACGACGCGTTTGAAGTTCTCCCGTAGCCTAGTTACTCGTCTGAAGGTTAAACGAGGGTAATAACGTTGCATTATACCCTCGATACGCTTCGGCACGCGGATTAACTTCGCGCTTCGAAGCTTCGTGAAAAAAACGTGAGCTGCAACGTGCTGGGTATTGGGGTTGAATTGCAGGTCGAAAGGGATGCATACAGGCTAGGCCAGTAATCTGTGAGAAATGAAATGGAATCGCAGAATTCCAGCAAAAAATGAAACAAGTAACACACGAAAGCTGTGTATCGTACATACTGTGCGTTAGTCTATTTTTCTTTTTTCAGACCTTTTTTTGTAGTACTAGAAAGGTAAAAATCTGGTAAAAAGGCTGAAGTACCGAAACTTGACCTGAAAAATACCACTTTATTTGTCTATCCCTTCTGAAACTGTCCTACAAGCTTTCGTATGACGAATGTCTTACGTTCTATTATCAATGTTTCTTTCTCTTGGAAATGAAACCTCCAATTTTTAGCATTGAAGCTCATTATCTCATAAAGTACAGTATTACAATTTTATAAATTAGCGTTAAGAAATATTCGAGGATTTGAAAATTATGTTTCAGAGTAGTTTCACCTCCTTGTTTGCGTACTAACATTCGTGATTCTTTCACGTAAAGAGAAGACTGGAATTTATGTTGCACGTTGTATTTATATCATTAAAATAGGTCGATGAAACGTTTTCTATTTTTTTTCTCAACTTTACATCGCAGCTCGCTTATAGCTTTTCTCCTTACTGACGCATCGTAAACTGTAACAAGGATAAACTATAAAAGGGAACAAATTACTGATACTAGCGATGCCTACGTGGAACAAGATTGAAATGTTTCAAAGGGTGCTTGAAAGATGTCGAATGTTTTTTTTTGTCGAAAATGCGTGTATTTTTCAATATTGCATCACTTTGTAGTTTCGTCAGAACTTATAATACACTTACGAAGGATATACAAATCGTATCGCGAATTCCGCGGTACAATGTGTACGACACAATCATTTTATCCTAATTGAAAATCACAATTTACTTTATATTTCCGTGAAACCGACATTAACAATACAATGTCAAAATGTACACATTCGTAGTAATTTAAAAATACATTTGCGTACCGCTATCGAACGTTTTCCTTCGTTTAATTTAAATTAAACCATTTTTTCCCATGATCACATTCAAGAATATCATTCAACCACAGAAACGAGCAAAATAGTAATAAATATTCTTTTTTTTTTTTTTATATGCCATCTTCGACGTAGTCACATCTATGAGTTTTAAAAAAGCTTTCGAAATAATCATACAGCAACTATTGTTGCGTATTCAGAGGACTCGAGTCAAACCAGTCTTGACCCATATCGGACAGTGAACGTGTTACCTAGTAACTAAATGCTTGGATAATTAATACGTGTCAGAGATGTTGAACTAGTATCTTAAAAGTAATACGTGCTTAATTTCTTTCACAAATAACTCCATTAACGCATGCTTGGTGCTTAGAAAAAGACAAGAAACGTTGAAAAGATAAAAACGGAATGTAAACATATTAACTTGCAATGAGTCGATAATAAATATGTTCGAGGAGATTTAAAAAGCGTAACGCGTACGAATATCCTCCAGTTTCTTCGATACCTCTGATGGGGTTCGTTCGAGATCGCCAGATATACTTTTCTGTTTCGTGGGTTCTATCGAATTGAATTGCTCGCAAAGATCGCCGTCTATGACATTTTTTACAGGATAATAATACGATCTGAAGGACAAATGGTCCCGTCCGCAAAGCGGCGGGTGTTCCGAGCGCATGTGCATCTCCAAGTGTTGGAAGAAATCGTGGTCCTCGTGACTCGTGAAGGGAACGAGAACCCCCACCGTTCCGCTCAACGTTGTATAAACTAAACTCTCGGAACCCCCGGGAATTAGTGTTGCTTTCTGCAAGGACATGACCGTTTCACCGACATGGAAACAGGCGACAGTGTCCGCCTTCTGACTAGCACCGTTCAGTAAACCCCTGTCCCACAACGCTTTGTTCCCAGTTGGATCCTCATCTACGTCATCATTAATTCCGCTTGCCAAACGTATCTGTTGATGGACAGTAAACATTTGTAGGAAAGTTCCATGGAATATTAATCATAAAACTTCAGCGACTAATCACGATCAGGAGTAGTTTGCTTAGGCCCCATGCCAAATTTTTTTAAAACCACAGGACTCGAAGCTGACAATGTATCAAATTAAAAGTCACGAAAGTCGATGATGTTACATACGATAGTACTGTAAATAATAATAGTATCCGAGTGCAACTCGCAGAAATGTAAATTATAGTAAAAATAAAGTACTCTAGAACTCTAGAAACTGTTAACTTTATACTTTTAAAAACATCGAGTGAGCAGCCCCTGATCACGACGAAGCGCCCAAGAACCTTAAGCTTAAAAAAAAAAAAAAAAAACTACTTACGACAGCGATATTTCCAAATTTATCTGCAGTGGCGACGGTATCGTAATCTAATACACACGTTGTCGTGATCCACCTCGGATGCGTATCGTCGGCGAATACTATGAGTTGATTCTCTTGTCGTTTGTATCTTACAGCATATACGGATTCCTGGACGTCGCTCACGTAAATTCGTTGTCCGATCGCGTTAATCGAAACAACAGCGTTGGGAATATGCTTATTTTCGCACTTGCGCAGCAGTTTTTTCTTGCCCATATCGTACAAGCGTAACATCCTGCCGACGCCTACCAATACTCTTCCTTGGTAAGGGCATATGGCCAACGGAACTTCGTCCAAAGTGGTTTTATGAATCAATTCGAGGTTGGTGCATTCAGCGTTTACTCTTAAAAGAAAAAGATATTTATGTTCGTACCTATTCTTTCTTCCTGAATCATAAATTGTAACGTAAAGTTTGTATCAGTACTGCAGGACTATCATCAAATGATATTACAGTGGTTGTGTTATTTTCATCACGTATTTTCTAAAATTGTCTAAGGTTTGGTACCGTGAAAAATATACCGAGACTTACTTGTATGTATATAAAAAACCGCCACTGCTAACTCTAGGATTCAGTTGAAATTCCTTCGCGACGCCAGCTATGAGAAACAACTGGTCGCCCTGGTTAGCAAATTTCACGAGACTCAAACTATAATGGAAATTCATAAAAAATTAGATTCTCCGCCACTTTGAAATCACAACAAACGTCCTCCGAGTTTTGCATGCTCACCATAAAGCAGCTAAATTTTGTTCGAGCCGATGAACTTCGAACGTTTGACCCGTCGTGGGCGCTATTATTCTAATTAACGACGCCCACAAGCCTGGTCCAGCCCTTGGCGCGCCAAACACCGCCTCGTTAGGCTCCTCCGATAAGAAAGCTTCCGCCAATTCTCTCGCTACCACGGCCTCCTCCGCTCCTGCAGCCTCCTGCATTTCCTCCGCCATCTGCAGCCTTCTCTGCTGCTTAGTTTCTTCCGTGTACGCGTTATGTTCCGTCTCGATGACTATCAAGTGCGCCGAATCCGAGTGAATCGCGAACTTTCTGGGCGTGTATTCCAAGGGAAAGCTAATTTGATTGAACACAGCGCCCAACTTCTCGAGGGCGAGAATCCGGAGCGTGTTCGTCGAAATGGCGACGATTCCTTCGGGACACTGCTCGGAGCTGAAGCCTGACGCAAACTCTAAACTCTCGTAAGACAACGGCGTCAAATGGAAACGATTTTGATAGTAATAGCTCAACCACGATCTGCTGCTCATCGCGAGCACCGCTTGATTCCCTTGCATTTTTATCCTGAACAGTTTAACTGGACGGGAACCCAAATACCGCGTACGAGTGTCCGCGAGGTCACCAGAAATTGGGTCCAACACTGTTCTCAATAACACGCCATTTTGTAAACCTATAAGCAAAATATGAAAACATGTTTTAGAACTCGAGCTTCTGTTGTACGCAGGGTTGCCAGAATTTGCGCGACGTATTAAGGAATGGTAGAGGGGGAACTTACTATGGAGTGGTGCATATAAGAAACAAGGAGACAACGGTATAGCTTTCTCTCTTGTTCTATGTGACGTCACTCTTGGCTCAACGCGTTGAGTTTTCGCTGGCAACCCTGATTGAACGTTGAATAAATTCAACATCCCGTACCTATATTTAAATACAGACTGGACTGTTGAGGTGACATTTCTTCCGAACTATTCGCGTCTTTGGCACCCATTTCAACGATGCATAAACTCTCCGCCGCCGCAGGTAAAGCTTGCATGCTCCTAGGCGCTAAACAATCGGACGGATCCAATGAAATTATCCTCACGGTGTTGTCTTGGAGACCAACAGCTAAAAACCACGATCTCTGTTCTCCAATAGCCACATTACCAAGAGCCATACACATCACTTCCGATGGCATTTTCTTCCGTTCCGTGTATTCGTTCAATTGCCCCGTCTAAAAAGGATGAATGACCGACGTTATTTAAATCAACAGAATTTTTAATGAAATGTACACTTCTCATCCGCTTTAACTAATTAATAGTAAATTAATTGGACGAAGAAGCGATATAGTTTGCGCATCTCTTACGTCTCTGAGAATAAATACAATCGCAGAGAGAACAATCGATGCGACACAGGTTATTAGAAATTGGTTACAGAAAAAAAAAGGTATGTACATACAGGGTCCATTTCGAAGTATACCAATTCTCCTCCTGTAAGAGCAATCACAACTTGACGCTGATTCACCGCGCATTTGACTATAGTCTTTTTACCAGGTGCTTTCCATTCGTTCACGCGTTTATCTGCGCGAATGTGACGTATTCCATCAGGATACACCTAAAAAAAAAAAGGACGATCGTCTAATACCTACATAGCAGTAATATTTGAATCGTTAAACGTCTAAGCGATTTTGTAGAGTTCGTAGTACCAGAAGTGTTTAGATAGCAAGCTAAACATTCAACGATGCGGTGAACTCGTTATAATCTAGCACTATTTATTGCGACCGACACGTGGTCGACCAGGTGTCGGAGATACCGTAGTGCATAAACGTTAACATCGTTTCTTGATTATACCTGAACCAACGCATCCTCGCCCAACGCGGAACAGCTAAGCGTCGGCGTCGTGCCAAGAAATCCAGAATCTGTCACTTCTTCTACAGTTTCTCCGATACTAAGTACAAGAGTAGCATTGACGAAGGACACTATGATGTAAGCATCATACTCTTCTGTAATCAAAATCACAAAGCTCACTCTGAATATCTCGTCTATGCAAGAATAAAGAAATAGACAAAATAATAGAACGCCTTTCGCGGCAGTCGAATACGCTCTATTCTCTTCTTGCGCGCAAAGACCAGACGGACTTTCGATGCAAATCGATTTCTTATCTCCGATTTCGGCAATTTTCGAGTGTTCTTACCTTTTTGTCACTCTGTGTTCTGTAGTTCAACCAATAGCATGCTGGTAGCCTGAAAGAGAGAACTGGTGTTTGATAAGAGTGTATCAAACCACCAGATTCATTAATATCATTTACAATAAACCAATCTCTTTCTCGTTTAGATTTAATGTTAATAAAAAAAATTAAAAAAAAAAAAAAAAAAAAATGTCGAGAGTATGTTACAATTTATATTTCATATACCATCACGATTTTTTTAAGATAACGTTCAATTTGATTTCTGCTTAGGAATCTTTTCTGAATACCGTGATTAACCGTTTGCATTCGAGAGGTCATTCTCAATTATCGCGAAACTCTACGTAGCAACTCCTAAGGCACCTAGGGACCTGGAGCTGCTGAGACGTACCGTAGAGCGAGACCGTCTTGAGCGCAAAGAGTTAAAATTAAGCGATAACGGGGCTACGATAAAGAACTACTTTACACCATGTTAGATAATGAATATGTCGATATTGTATCATAATTGGCAACTACGTCATCGATAGAGAAAAAAAAAAATGAAGCTAAAACTTATTCTGCATTGTCAATGAAACGCATAGAGGTAAAAACATGCAAACAACTACTGTTCAAGGTGTTTTCAGACTAACCATCGATTCTTCTTTTAACAGTCCACACAGCGTTTGGATTACCAGGCAGTTCACTGACAGCCATTTCTGAAACTTCCAAACCGT